CCCCCCCTAGTTTTACTGCAAAATTGAAGTGGACTGTCATTATTTCGAATCCCCCCCCCTTTGGAAGTTATTTTTCTCAACATTTTGCGCTAGTCAAAACAATATTAAAAGTGCTTATTGATAGAAAATTTTTCACCCTACACGCTGGTATTTTTATTTATTCTGTATATTAAACCCTTACAAGACATAAGCAAAACAAACTTTAAAACACGGTTTTAACATCATCAGACCACTTAAAAATAATTATAACTATTTTATTTTAAATCAGCGGGCTGAAATACATACAATATAGAGAGCGCCCAATTATCGTTCAATTTTCTAATTCAGAAGTTTCTCAGTTGGTATCCATAAGTACTAAGAACAGAGATCAGATCGACGTGCTACGTAGTACAATCGATAAGGTCCCCGACTACAAATCCGAAGAATGTGGATTCGATTCTCGTAAAATTTGGAAGTTTTATTTACACATATATTATATATAATGAATACAAATATAATATGCATAACATCTACACTTATATTACGTATAATATACACACATACATTATATATAATGTATACACATATATATATATATATAACAAATGTGTACATATATATAATATATGTGTACATATGTTTTTTTCGTTAAAGTGCTTTACGTCTGGCTCTCTTGTAGGGGCACTACTTAGGGCACTTAGCACTTAGGATTGGGAAGGAATTGGAATTAGATTAGAAGAAGGGAGGACCCTAATAATTGCTCCACATTCGCCCATGACGTTAGTCATATGGATCAGAAAAATTCCAGGAAATCCCCCTCTATCACTGAGCCATTGTATCAATGTGTAATGTGTAATGTATATGTTACATATACAGTACATATATGATGTTTAATTATATATGTAGACGTCCGCTTTTGTATAGTAATATGGACGGATAATACACGTAGATTACAAAAAAAGCTATATAGATATACACGACAGTATAGTTATCGGTACCATATATACGTAAATATAGATGTACAAGTTCCATTGCGTGTATTTATATATAGAGGGAGAGAGAATGAAGCCCCAGTGGTGGGGTGAACAGCAACTGAGGAGCGGACCAGACTTCATGTTGCATATTTCCCCTCGCGCGGCTGTTTACTGCCCGCCATAAGATGTTTCATATAAAAAATGTTCTACATTTATACAACGAGAAGAAATATCGACGAAAAAGGTAGACAATTCGGCT